GAGAGAGAGAGAGAGAGAGGAGCGATTATGATTGTTTTAATGGTTTTGTTGAATTGATAATTGAATGTAAAACTACGGATAATTTGATGCAAACGCTATGAACGGAAAGTATTGTGTTATTAAAGTATTAATAACAGTAAACGTGATTTCGGGCCACAGATAAGGATAAATAACATAAATATTCAATAAATTCGTGAAATAATTTGGGAAATGAATACAAAAGGATTATTATTTCAATGATTTCGAAACACATTATTGTTTTTCTAAATATATTTCACCAAACAATTAATCAATACTTATTTATGTAACAAAACAATACACACATAAACCCTTACTGTACATCTGCTATTAGTTGTCTATTTTTAATGGCAATAATCACATAATTTTGGGATTAATTGTAAAATTTAGGTTACATTCAGGTTTGGGTTACAAAGTATTGGGTTATCATTGAATCTTAAGTCCGTATAATTAGAAACGAATTTCAATCATGAAATGAGTGGTAAACTTATCGATTGATTTGCTCACTGAATAACAATCAATTCTTATCGTATCTAATATTTGCATTATAAATATATACATTAAAAATACATTACAAAATGCAAAACATTTACAAATAAATTACACATTCTCTCCGCACCCGACCTTCAAATGCGGACCTCATTTAGTAAATGAGTAGAAAAACAATAACAAAACAAAATATATTACAAAATACGAAACTAAATAAGATTTAAATGTAATTTTAGGCAACAATTTGGACATTTTATTCAACAACTGTTCGTCACTGAAACACTTGGATATGATAGCGTCGGGCGGTTTCAACGCCCGTAACGTAATCAATAGGAGTCAATATTTGACAGTTCCGGTCAACGAACGGCTCATACACTTTGTGGACACCACTTCAGCGGCGGTCAGTCACTGTCAGATCGCTGTCTGCAACTCATTCATCAACTCTTCAGTCTGCGTGGAAGTGATGTCCGCAACCGAACTGATGGTCGGTTTGGTTTCGGGCACGAAATACGCGCCCCTTATTAAGTCACACCTGAGCGCTGTGTTGGCCACTGAGTTGGCCTGCGTTGAGACCCGCAGTGATTATCTGCGAAACACTATATTATCGATGTTTAGGATATTGAGTGATAGAAAGTGCGAGAATCTCAACAATGTTAACATCATTATAGCCCACATGATTGCGGACACGAGTGCCGGCACTGTTGTGGTCAAGTTGGCCACTGCGGGCCAGTGGACGAGCCTGAGGCAGGTGCCGCTCAGTGACCGTCATCGTAATAATAGTACAAATAATAATAATAATAATAACAGTAATAATAGCCTTTCGCCCAAAATCATAAACCTGTGTTCAAAGCAGTGTTCAAAGGGATCGATGGCTGGAAAGGGTAGGGATAATGGCAAGGGTTTGGTCGGCGATCCCATTTGTCACGAGTTGACGCTATCGGGCGATAACATCGGCGGCCAAACCACTGCCCTATTGATGGGTATAAACATCGGCGGCGACGACGACGAAGAGGACGCCTCGACGACAACCAATGAATTGTTTGCGTCGAAAGAGTTGTCGAGTTTGACGGATAAGTTGAAGCGATTCACAGAAGTGGTGAACGCGAGGAATAATTATCTCAATAATTGCGAGGATTGCGATAATCATTGTTTTGGTGCAAACTTTCTGGCGCTCGCTATTCATCCGAAACTAATCAAAGACAATAGGTTTGCAATTTTGTGAATATTTTTTGTTTCATTATAACTAATCAATGGTTGAAATTATATGTTATTAACCATAGAGTATATTCACATCGATTTTTAAACGATATAAACAGATTACTAGATATTAAACATTTTTGCTTTAAAATATACTAATATCTATAAATAGTTATATATTAATATTTTTAAGCAGATAAATATCAAGTTATTTATTGGATTCCTTGATTCATAGCTGAAAATAATACTTAAGTACTACTTGTTTATAGATTTAACACTTTGTTAAACAAAACTCCTAATTATTAGTGCAAACGTCTAATGAATATATTATGACTTTTTATTTCCGATCCGTTAATTCATTCATAATTTAATTTAGTTTTTGACCTTTACTTCAAAACTCAATACAACTAATGATATGTTTTTTATATATGAAAAGTTAACACAATATTGGATAATAAGCACTTATTATCTAAACACTGAATAAAATACATGTTTTAACAGAAAAGCGTCGCTCGTTATGAATGACTGGTAATTCATTTGCCAACAAAAACAACTCATTTCTATTGTATTCAATCTATCAGTTCATTCATAACCTAAACATAATTGTAAAATATGATAATTAGTGAAATAATATGATTATTATATTAACGATTGACTACTTCTCTCTCTCTCTCTCTCTCTCTCTCGGTTCGGGTAATGAATTGTTGTAATGAAATGATAGGAGTATTGTTTGACTTGAGTTTACGACTGGAGATACTGTCGAAGCGATTGGTGTCCACGTCTTTGAGCGCTTCCAACTCCTTATTGAATCTCTCTCTCTCTCTCTCTCTCTCTCTCTCTCTCTTATTTTAAAGAAGAGATAGAAGAATAACTCATTTATCACTAATTCTTTCCGTAATTTAGTTAAACTTTTAAACTTATTTTTTGTTACATAATTATTATTTAATTAGCATTTGTTTTGTAACATACGGTACAAAACAATTGTTTGTATCGTAAAGATGTTTACAATGTTTAACATATTGTCTAACTATTTGTTTTTTTCAACTCATTGTCCAAATGTTCAGTACCTGTGAAGAGGAGTCGAGCCTAAAGTCTTCGTCGTCTAACACGAGTGACACAAACGACTCGACCCAAGACTCGGCCCACGACTCCATCAACGACTCGACCATAGACTCGGAGCACTCGGAGAAGTACCGGAGCTGGGAATACATCCTCGAAGAGAACCACAAATGTCTGTTCAATAAGGAGTTGGAAGCGCTCAAAGACGTGGACACCAATCGCTTCGACAGTATCTCCAGTCGTAAACTCAAGTCAAACAATACTCCTATCATTTCATTACAACAATTCATTACCCGAACCGAGAAATACAAGAAATACGATTCAAACACTTTTAAAGTCTATAAGATTTAGATATGTTTTTGTAAATACTTATTCATTCAGAGTATTATTTTTTATTAATATATTTAATTATGCATTGAATTTAATATATTTTATGTGCACTAATATATTGTATTATATCTGCATTTCATACAAAGTGTTTGCCAAATGTTTTATACAAATAATGATTAAGAAAAATAAATACAAATATTTTTGAATAAATCTTCTTTGCGTTGAATTGAAACATGAATTTAATTACAAAAACACAAAATTAATGAAAGAGTTTAATGAATGGGAATTTAATTGAATAAATTGTTTTATTTAATGAATCTCTTTGTGTTAAGACAATCGCCGACACATTGTTTTGTCGGGAGTCCGGAGCCCATCCCTCGACCAGATTTGTTGAACTGTAAGACTACTATAGTGTCCCATATGTGACCCGTGTTCTCCATCCCAGACCAGTCGGACTATCCCTCAACTCTACCATCACTTCAACACCTGTTGGACTATCCCTTTGGAGGACTCCCAACACCACAGGTCTTAAAGTGATGGCATTGTCTCAGAACTCCCAACACCCCTGGCCTCCCATCTGTGCCCACCTCTGCCCCAACGGCCAGTCGGACTATCCCTCAACACTACCACCACTTCAAGACCTGTTGGACTATCCCTTAGGACTCCCAACACCACAGGTCTTAAAGTGATGGCAATGATTAGGACTCCCAACACCCCTGGCTTCGAATCGGTGCCCATCTCTGCTCCACTGCCAGTCTGACTATCGATGTGTTGACTCTCAACACCTATGGCCTCAAATCGGTGCCCAATTCTATCCCAACGATTGGTTAGTCTATGGCTGTGGAGAACTTCCAGTACTTTTGCGCGTAAAGTGTTTGTCATTTGTATGACTCGAGTGTCAACGACTGTATTGCTGTCACAATTGATCCAATAGTCGGTGAAAATCAGTTCTTTGGCTGCCATTGAGTCTGGGATCAGGTATTTGTGATCATTTCGAAGACATATCTCTTTTGTCAAACTTTTCAAAATTCGTTTGATTTGTATTTTTAGTTTGTTTTTAACAATAATGTTATGATTATTAAAAGACAAACATTTTCAAATTAAAATTTTTAAATTTAGTTAAAACTACAACAAATTATAACCATTTAATCAAAACTATAAAATATGATTAAATATTTACTAAATGTCTACCAATTGAACCCATCGTACACTTCCTCTTCTAGTTGTGATCTCCTAAACAACTCTTCAAAAAACCATTCAATTTATTAAAAACATGTGATTTTAATACAAATTGAAAATAATTGTAAATTAATTGAATACAAAACCTTATAATTGTTAACACTATTCACACCATTAAAGTTATAATTAAAATCTGGTCATACATTTAGATCAGTATTTCATCGCAAATTTTAGACCCAATAATACTTAACTAAACTATATTTGCATTTCTGTCAGATATTTCTCGATATAAATAAAGTAATAAAACATTTTTCAATTCATCACAAGTTTTGAATTTATTGCCAAAACTAAAAACAAGTGGAGATCTCAATAGAGAAGATCCACGGCTTACACACGTCTCACTCCAAATGGACGTACAGTTGATTACAAGTTTGTCCGCACCGGTGGTCACAGTTTGGGAACCGATGAGACGATTAGTTACACGGCGTCCGACACATGACACCAGTTCTCGCACATGGAGTCCAAACAGATGGATAACTCTCGACGCCGATCACAGAAATGGTTACATTTTGGGACCGATACAAACGGTTCCCATTCGGCGGTTGGCCTCCGACCAGACGGTAGGCCACAGACGTCTATCACAGAGTGATTTCAATTGGGGACCAAACAGATGGTTGACTCGTTGCCACTCAACACAAGTGAAGACACGACAGGTCTTTACTGCCATCGATTGCAGGACAAGTCATTGTTGGCCACCAAACAGATGGTGAGACCAGAGTCTCACTCAAGTGATGACAGTTTTGGGACCGAACAGAATGTTCCCAATCGGGGCTGAGAAACAGTTGGCCACCGATCGCACGATAAGTCAGTTGGTCTCCAATCAGGTGTCAGACCATTGGCGCCGATTGACAGTTGTGTTGAGACACTTAGGAACCGATCAGACGGTACTCCGTCGGCTGCGTTCGTACAATGAGGTCAAAGTTGTCCATCAATCAGATGATAGACAGGAGGCGCCGCCAATACAGAAGATCAAAATTGAGGTCCAAACAGATGGTAGTCCTCCGGCGGCGGCGATCGCTCGACAAGTGAGGGCTGGTCTCCAATCAGTGGAACCATTGCCTGAGATTCACAGTAAGAACCAATCAGTCGGTTGTCCTCCGGCGCCGATTCACACGACAAATACTCAAGTGTTGGACACGAATAGTATAGCGACGGAGATATCAATGATTCCTGGATCTCGACCACAGATGTCGGGGTCTGATAGTCGTGCAGATGTTTTGGGCGTCTATACGAGGCCTTCAGCAACGGGTCGTCGAGTATTGCGTCCAAAGACGGGCGCGAATCAAAGTCAATGCCAATCAGTTGATCCAACACTCGCGTGCGATCGCTGTCGTCGACACCCGGTATCGGACACAACAGCTCTTTGCCAATCAATCCGATTGCATAGACATCAGTGCATCGGATGTCCGCAACAAACACTTGATTCGTGGCTTCGGGTGATTCATAGCATTGGTTCCAGTATTCGGCGGTCATAGGTATGGGTTGTCCCGTCTGGTCGTCAACCGCTCTCTTAATGGCCCCGAAATCAGCTATTTTTGCCACTAATCCTCCGCTTGTCTCACATCTGAAGAGCAATACGTTTTCGGGCTTGAGATCCAAGTGTGCGAACCCTTTGCTGTGTATGTATTGGACGCCACGGACTATGTCTTGAAACACTGTAAGAACCCATTGGGCGTCGAGTCGTCGGACCACCGATTCCTTGGTGTAGGGCTGAAGACTAGACTCGGCCGCAGACATCACTATCACGCGATTGGCTCCGCTCTCGGGGTATATGATTGGAAGCGCCGACAATACGTTCGAGTGATTCCACGCCATCAATGACTTCAGCTCTTTGTCGATGGATTGAAGGGAATTACGGCAAAACTTGACGGCCACTGGTTTGCCATTGTGTAGAGCATTCACTACCAGTCCGTTACTACCGGTTCCCAAATGTGAGCTCAAGTGAAGGCCATTCGCAAAGAGTAGAGGCGACGAGTGTTTGATGATTGAGTTGTAGTCACTCTTATAGCCACGAGTAGTCTTGAGTCGGACTAACAGGTCGTCGATGTGGTCGACCCTCCAGTCTTTGATGGCTGTCTCGACGTTAGTCCACAAGTGGTCGATCGGATCGACTCCTGCGGCGGGTTTTCGCCACATTTGTCGCGATTTCCTCCTAAAGTGTTGATTAACTGTAGGACTGAATGAGTTTATAATCGCCAACAGATGGACACTATTCGTGAAAATGGACTCCAATTCCAGTGGACACCAGTGTTGGGCCGGAATAGCGTTGAGATGTAGAAAAGCGAGAGTTCTTGGGTTCTCGACTCTCAACTCTCGAGAGTCGTCGACCAATCCGTAGATCTGTTTGCCGGCAGACAACGCGACGGCCAAACACTGAACAATCGGTGGACAAAACTCGGCTTTAGATCTCTTAGACTCCGAGACTGCGATCTGGTCGTCGAAGTGGCGGTCGAGATGTCTCTTCACTCCGACTCTCCTCAGCGGTGGCTTATAATCGGCTCTTTCGGTCCCGAATCGCGTTCGCAATGATCTGACGACTCGTTTGGCTTTCGCACCGAACTTACGGCATGTCTTCCACAGAGTC